ATTCTGTTGCAGACTTTTACAAGATGTATGAACCATGTTGCATAGATACCTGGAAATAACACCACCATTCCTTTGTTGCCAAATTAGTCACTCCTAAGAATAAGCAAAGTGTTACTCAGTATGAATGTTAAGTAATAATAGCATCTAGTTTATTAGAGATCAAAAAGTATTGGTGTTTGTAACTTAAAAAATCCCACTTAAAATCGAGATAGTGAATATTACTCTGGGAAGATTTCTCACTGTACCTGACATCCTCAGCATGGTGAGTAGAGCCATGGAGCAGAGTTCTGGCCAGGACAAGACTTCTCCACCTGGGGACAATGACAGGTTGTTGGAGCCATCCCCACTGCTTTTGTGCTGTGGTGCAGGAGCGTGCAGGTGAGGTGCTGGGAGCAGCAGAGCATCTTCCCCTTCCCCAGAAGAACATTCCCCAAATCCACTCTTTTGCCCTGCCAAGGCACCAGGAGGGCTACTGTGCTAGTTTTGCCCCCCAGTTGTGTCTTGTAGCTTACCTTGGAAAATGATTGGATGAAGGAACTGTCACAGGTGCCTCCCTGGACACCCAGCACAGCCTTTACAAGTAAAAATCAGCCTATTTTTTCAGGAGAATTGTGTTCCATGGTGCTGCCCAACTGGAATCAGAATGGGCCAAGGCAGATGTTGAGCAAGGCCTTTAGCTTTTCTCTCCTGCCATCTTGCTATCAGACAGGACCACTCTGGCAGCCAGGCACTGGAATATTCATTAATACACTAGCCTTCCTTTCATCTCAAGCTGAACCCATCATTTCTTGCAAATGCACATTCCCAGTCTGTGGGATGCCCAGCCAGCTCGTTAATCCATTCCAGCAGACAGTGCATACAGTCATTCTGAACTGTGAGCACTGAAAACAAACAGTTTTATTTGCATTTCATGAGCCTATTATAAGTGGCAGCCAAAACTGGAGAGAATGTGTCTTTGTGTGTGGCACTCTGAGCTTTTGGTTGTCTTTTTTTTTAATGTTGGGTGTAGTTTAAGGGCAGAGTATATAACATCTGTGGCAAAAAGAAAGTTTTCCTTCCCAAGCTATTGTTTACACATAGTTCAGTTTCATATGAAAACATCTGTCTGATGAATGAGTGACTGCAAACTACTTGGTGCAAGCCAGCATAGCTGAACTGTTACAGAAGTAACATTAAATAGATACTCATTTTTAGTTAAGATAGGGTTGCCTAGAGGCCTTACAGTCTAACATAAAATAGATAATCTCTCACTGTGTTCCTGTGTTGCATAGCACCCCAGGGTTTCTAGATGATACAGTAATAAAAATATTCATAAACATCATGCAATACCTTCCAACATAGATCACAGGCCATGTTGTCCAGCAGCATTTTGAATGCTGAAATGTGAGAGTGTTTCCCAATTAATGACAGACTGGATGGCTGTAAGGCCAGACCAGCATTATCAGCTTCTCTGCCTGAGGTAGGGTGTGGTGGTATCTTGCCTGCTTCCCAAAAGACTTGGGAAATGTCTTGCTTTGGTTTTTGCCTGAGCTTAATTCTCCTCAGGGTCCTCCCCCTGAAAGACTTAGATTTTTGTCAGAGATGTATGAAATTGTTTTCTTTTCCTACAGTGTTCTTACAAGTATGACCCTGGGGAGTGGCACAAGGAGAATATACATGATTGAACAGTAATGATCAAACTTACAGAAGTGCTGCTGCTTATCTCTTCAAATTGTAAACATCTGAGGTCTGTTGTTCTCAGTTGCCTTTGTGTCTATGTTCCTGATTAATCTTACACTGCCATCTGTCTTTGTTCATGCCCAATACTGCTCAGCGGTGCCTAACTTCATGTGCAGCAGCTCCTGGATGTCAAACGAAATCAGAAGGATAAAAAGAGTCAAAAGAAATCCACAAGATTAAAAAAGAAGTGTCAAAAGAGATCGTTTTGACTTTGAATGGTGGAACAAGGGACAGACTTACTGTGGTCTTCCTTCTTACTGCTCTGAATTCCTTTACCAGATTCATAACTTACCATTGTTGACAAAAGAGAAAACTATCATTAAGAAAAATCTTATTTTGTCTTATTCAGGCAGCCCCAAATGCAGTCTGTGCTGGCTGAGGTAACGTGGAGAAGCCATAAGCAACAGGATAGGCCTTAATGTGGTTCCAGAAACTTCAGTGTGAGGGTGGTGAGAGCCTGGCCCAGGTTGCCCAGGGAAGCTGTGGCTGCCCCATCCCTGGCAGTGTTGAAGGGCAGGTTGGATGGGGCTTGGAGCAACCTGGGCTGGTGGGAGGTGTCCCTGCCCATGCAGGGGGTTGGATCTGGATGATCTTGAAGGTTCCTTCCAACCCAAACCAGTCTGGGATTCTATGAAAATTGGGCATATTTGCTCTTTGGAACTGAGGAAAATCTAGAGGATCTTGTCTGTAATGACAATTACTGATGTAAGCAGTTTAATGATGGAGTTCAGTCTGAGTAGTTCTGCAGACCCAAGTTGGTCTCAAAACATCCTCTTTCCTTTTTCAGGTGCCTTGCTTGTGCCAGGTCAGGCCTGGTGCATTGCTCAAGTACCTCCCTGAGCTTTCCTCTTTGGTTTAGATTTGTTTCTGCCTGGCAATACACAATCAACCAAAGGGGCAAGAGGAAAGGAAATACTTCCTGCTCTGTTCTTCAGTGAATTAAACTGAAGTAAATTAAATTTCAGTAAATCAGATTCTGGGGTTGGAGTTGATTAATTAGGAGTACATAAATAAAAATGCCAACTGCTGATTTTTTCCAGCTTGTTTCTCCTCAGAAACAGGACACATAAAAGGATGACCACCTGGGAAACATCAATAAAATAGCTGGTTGGGAAGTTAAACACTGGCTGCCTTTTATGATTTCTTTGAAAACAGTTATTATTGTAAGGAGTCAACATTTGTTCAACCTATGACTTTACAGTGAAAGGAAAAACACTATAAAAATAGACTTGATGTGGGAACAGCTCTGTTAAAATAAACACAGTTGGTATGGATCACCACCAGTAACTATTTGAAAAGAACAGAGTAAGCACAAATGGCCACAAGCTCGTGACCCAAGTGAAAACACAGGATATTAGAATTGTTTCACTGACAGCATTTTGGGGCTTGGCAGTTGAATGTGAGGAAAACCAAGTGGCAGTGGAGGAATTCACTGGGCAGGAAGCACTAAGCAGGAGCAGCCATTGTTCTCCCAACACAAAATCATTCCCTAGGCTGCCTGGTTGTCCAGGACCCAGCCTGGCTGCTTATCCAGAGCGAGCAGTTCTGAACTGGCCTGTGTGTTTGGACAGTGTGTAGATATTCCCCTCAATATTAGCACGTTAAAAGATATTAAACATTTGCAGCTATAAATGAGAGAAATAAGGCCTGGGGAGCCCAGAACTGGATGCAGTATTCCAGCTGTGGCCTCACCAGGGCAAAGTAGAGTGGAAAGAATGACCTTCAACCTACTGGCCATACTCTTCTTTATGCAACCTAGGATTCCATTGGCCCTCTTGGCAGCAAGGGCACATTGCTGGCTCATGGATCATTTACTGTCTTATCAGGACTGTTCCAAACTGCTTTTCCAATAGATACACCCCTACTGGTGCTTGAGGTTCTTTCTTCCCAGGTGTAGGAGGACCCTACACTTGCTCTTATTGAACCTCATGAGGTTCTTCTCTGCCCAACTCTCCAGCCTCTGCAAGTCACACAGTCTGTCACAGCTGTGTCTGATCAGCTCTCTGTGTCCAGTTTGCCTTTGGTTCAACTCTTCAGGGCTTTCTAGGCACTGGTCTCCTGAGAGTTCTGTTAAAAAGCTCAGTGCAGTTGCTGCATGAGGCTGCACAGCCAGTGCCAGCACATGAGCAGGGCCTCCCTGGGGGACTTCTTGTACCAAAATAGAATGGCAGATGGTTTCCCAGCCTGGGCCTGCGTAGGATGGATAGAAACTGGCAAAAACACACTGCTGGCAGCCCAGGATGGACAGGACTTGTGGTTCTGGGCCCTTAGGACATCTGTGAAAACTCATGGTCATTGAAAGCATTATTTTCATCAGAGAAGACAGTGATAGGACAAGGGGTGAGGGTTTTAAACTGAGAGAGGGGAGATTTACGTTGGATATAGGAGGAAATTCTTCACTCTTAAGGGTGTTGAGGAACTGGAATGTGTTGCCCAGGGAGGCTGTTGATGCCCCATCCCTGGAGCCTTTTCAGGCCAGGTTGGATGAGGTTTTGTGCAACCTGGTCTAGTGGTTCCTTGCTCATGGCAGGGGGGTTGGAATTGATGATTTTTAAGGTCCCTTCCAACCTTCATGATTCTGTGATTCTATAATAATGACTTCAGATAAAGCAGGAAGGTAATTTCCTCCCTGCCTTTCCATTTTTTGTTTTGTTTTGGTGCTTTTTTCCTCCTAAACTTTGGTAAGTAATTAATCTGTGGCAGCCTAGGGAGTGCCCTGGGGGACACAGTCCACTGCCTTGCAGGTCTTACATGATGTTTTCAGCTTCCCAGGGTATTTTTACAGAATCTGAGCAGTGTGTCTTGTTTGAAGAGACTAACAGTCAATGTAACTAGAGTATAAAAACATATTTCTCAAGTTATCAAAGCTGCTTTTGGTTTATCTGAATAGAATGCCTCTCTGGGCCTTAGATAAACCAACTGCTGTCCCATTCCTCCACTTTGCCTGCCCTCTGCTGCCCTCTTCATGGGATGGAAAGAGTTGAAATCTCTGTTGCAGCTGGTTTATTATGCATTTCATGGGGACTTTTATAACATGCATAAATAGAAATGTACAATACATTTGGAAATTAGAATGTGCCTGGACTGGTGGTGTCACTGGAGCTACAGATTCAGCTTGAATTCCCAGCATGGTAAAAAATCACACCTCAGCAATTGTTTCAAGATACAAAAGTTGCACTTATGCAGATGACTAATCTTCATTAGGGATTACATCATACCATGTGTGCTTCTGAGTGTTGCGTGTTCACTGTGCAAGTCCTTTGTGTTCTGCTTTGCTTCAGGAAGGCTTTTCATTACTTGATTCCCACAAGTGGTTAAAGATAGTAAGAAGAGTAGACTGCCTGCTCCTTTGTGCACAGTCAAAGGTGAGTTGCTTTTGATATTTCTAGTAGCTAACACAGGTCTGTGTAAGATTTCCTAATACTGAATACACTAAACCAGGAGATCTGAAATACTGTAAATAGTCTATATAAATTAAAATACTGGGTTTTTTTAACTCTGAGGCACTAAACAAGAATGGGTTGAATCATTTTAATGTCTTTTCTAACTGCCAGTGTTCAGGTCTCTCAGACTGCTGAGAGTTAGCCACTAAACCAGCCAGACTGGTACTGGATTTAGAATCCATCTGCCATGGCTAACAACTAAAAAGATGAAGGGATTCTCTTGCTTGTACAGAAGCTGTGAGTCATTCTTCACTGTTAGATACAACAAAGTACCTAAATAAACAATTATTTTGCTTTTTTGTGGCCTGTCACATGGCACAGGCTGGTGATTCAGGCATTTCAAGGCAGTGATAGCCACCTTGGTTTCTGGTCTTTCCCCCATGAAAAGTGGTTGGTGAGCCTTGAGGTAATTAAAAAACCACTTGCTTCTTACCAGCTTATGTATAAATCTCAGTTTTCTTCATTCTCAGATGAAGAACTGAGGGGTTTCTTAGTCATCTACACTGAGCACTTTCCAGGCTTTTCAGAAGCAGCAAGAGCTCTCCCTTCTCCCCTGAGAATTCCTGGGCTTTGCTGTGACAGCAGAAGCAGCTGCCTCCACTTCAACTAGCTCTGCTTGACAAGAGAATTCATCTCCAAGTTAGAAGCAGGAGTTCTGGAAAGAGAGGATGAGCCTCTGGTTCAGTAGCTGCTGGAGACCAGTTTTAACTCTTTGCCCCCTTCACAGAAATATTAAGGCATAAAAACATCTCCAATGTTCCCTGTTGTTCTCCCAACAGGAACTCCTGGGGGAGGTACAGGCTGGGTTATCCTAACTGCAGGTAACAGCAACACCCAGAACAGCTGACAACTTTACTTGTATCTTTTATCTGATTTCTTTCCTAAAAGACACAGAAATATCTCTTTGTAGGATGTTACAAACCAAACAACATAGTTTGCAGAGGGGAGAATGCCTTGCAAATTGCAAGAAAAAATAGATGGGAGGCATAATAAATATTGTTTAAGCAGAAGGATTAATCTTGTTTCAGAATAAGCCTGATCTAGTGGTGGCACCAGGAACTGCAGAAATAAGTGTCTTCAACTGTTTCATATTCATGGCTTGTGCTTGCCTGAAATCAGAACACCTTCACTCTCTGATTTGTGTCAGGTTGTTATAAAAAGGGGAGTATTACTGAAGAAGACTATCAAGCTGGTGCAGTAATTAGCTCTAATGAATCAGTAGATCATCCAGTAGAACCCATTTCCCAGCAGAGTGTTCAGGGATTCTGCTGCATCTCATAAGACACACAAACCCAACATCTCAGTTGTTCTGAAGAAAGCTCTGGGGGGCATCTCAGAAAAGGAGCAACATTAACAGAGTCTTAAATTAATTGAGTGCATCTAAATGTTTGCTTACCATGAATCCACATGCCTTCAGCTGGATTTAGTGGCACTGCAGTGGTCCTACCATACAAATTCTCTATTCTCTATCCTAAATTGTAGCTGTAGTGATCCCTTAAGTGCTGTCAGTGTATTTAGCTTCTATGCTCATCTTCAAAAAGCTTTAAAAAAATCCAGGAAGGCATCCACACCATGTAGGGATTATGTCTCAACCCTAGTGGAGCTGAGTAAGGAAGGAGTCAAGGAGAAGCCACTCAAGCAGAGAAGATCAAGCTGGGTTTTCAAAACCCAGTTCCTAAATCTGAGTCAATATATAATAATATACTGAAAGGAAGAAGACATGTGGGGAAGACACCTGTCACAGATCACTACTGACACTCAGCTGTACTAGTTGAAATTTTATTCAGTGAGGCACACAAGGGTCTTAAATCTAAAGCCAAACCTGTTACAGAATCACAAAATCATTCTGATTGGAAAAGGCCTTTAAGATCATTGAGTCCAACCATAACCCCGTTCTGCCAACCATTAACCCAGCTCTACAATGTCCAGAGCTTAACCCATGTCCTTCAGCATCACATCATTAAACACCTCCAGGGATGGAGACTCAGATGTCAGATGCACACTTGTGTCTTTCAGTGAGATATAAGAGCTGCTTGGATGTGACTGCCCTTTATCCAGCTCCATCTCCATCTCCTCATCTCACCTTAGACTTTGATGTGCCTCTGTGTATAAAAACTTCTTGATATAAACCAATCTGTAAACAGTAGCAAGACAAATGTTCTTAATATTCTGGTAGTGTTTTTCCTTTATGCTGGTTTCATTGAACTTCCCGCCCCTGCCCCAGCATGGGACAAGGTGCCAAATTCAGTGATCCAAGTGACCTCAAGGGTCTTTAATCCTTCAGCCCTGGTGAGGTTCAGGTGTTAGTGTCCAGAACTCAGCTTCTGCTAAAACTTGACACACTGAACACTTGTCACACGGTGCTCACTCTTTCCATAAAGGAAGAATCTAATACACCAAGTCTGTTACTGCTTATAAACTGCAACCTTAAGTATTTCACATTCCCTGTGAAATAGCAGAGGATACTACAGATAGCTCAGACTGAAAGTGGATGTTGGGATTACTAAAACAAGTGTTCTTTGCAAGTCTCCAAAAAGAATGCAAATTAAGATGCAAGTTACCTTTCTGTCATTTTAATGAGAACTTACCTGTCTGGCACAGCCACAGATCAGTTCAGTTCTGGGAAGCTGACCCAGTTAAGTTGACATCTTAGTTAATTAGAGGAAATGTAACTGGGCACTGGTAAAATGAGTGCTACAGTTGGAATCATCATGACATTTTTCCTTTTAAAAGGCACTGAGACAAGCCTTTATGCTTACAACGTCCTAAAACTCTTTTTGTTGTTTTGCAGTGCAAGCATCTATAGATAACACACATGTAAACACACAGGCTGCCATGAAGAGCTGGCTCATCTCTGAGACAAAAATCCTTGCATGAAAGGTACCTTGTACCTGTGTGAGCAGCAGCCTGGCAGAGTCTGGGCAGGAAAAAAGTGGATTTGATGTTGAAATCTCAGAAAGATGAAGACTCAAATAGGCTAGGTCAGCCCAAGGAAAACTCGCTTCTTTTCTAGTACTTTGTGTTTTAAATTTGAAATGCCAAGATCAAAGGGCCATCCATGCATTCCCTAAACAAGAGCACTTGGTATGGATCTGCCTTCATCAGCTGGGGGGTGCTGAGGACAGGTTTGTCACACCAGCTCACTCCTCAGCCCTCCACTGATGCACTTGAAAAAATATCTATTGTGGCACAGCCTGACAACCAATACTGGGGATCAATCCTATTTATTTATTTTTTAGTAGCATTATTTCACCATTGAAGTCAGGCATTTGAGTTTCCTGCTCCCCTAATCAATTCCTGTAGCAGCACTGAAGGACCAGCAGTGTTGGGCTGCAGTCACAGCTCAAACTGGAGTGTTTGGCAAGGCAGAGGGACACCAGGTAGGTGGGTAGGGCTGGGGCTGATGCAGCCAGGAATGTCAATCCTGAGCACAACATACAGTACCTAGAACTTTTTGTTTGGATTCCCAAATTTACTCCTGCTGATTTTAATGCAATTTCATTTTTTGACAGCAATAACTGGTCAGAGTTGGCATATCCTTACAGGAGAACTACTTGGAGCAACAATAAGAAATTAATTTCCCTGCTGAATGTGTAAAATCCCCATTGTCATGGCAGAGTTTGTTCACTTGGCTAGAGCTTTAATTACCTGACAAGTGGTCCTGCTCACTTACCATTTTCTTGGGTTTTTAAACTGGTTTTCAAACTGAGAATCACAGCCTTTTGGTTTAGCTGCTGGGAAAAATGAAGCTAAAGCAGCCAACTTGTTGCTTTGGTTTTGTTGCCTTCTTCCCAACTTCAACAAATAGGAATTGAATTAAACCCAACTCGTTTGGAGGGGATTCAGAGTTAATTTCCTTTCTCTTTGGTCTTGGAGCAGAATGAGAGCCGCCTGTTCCGTGTTCAGTTTGGGGGAGATTCCCAGGAGGAGATGCTGGGACACTGCAGCAGTTGTGTGCAGAAGCTTGGGGAGTATCTACCAGTTGAAGTGGCTGAGGAGCAAAGCCAGCAGCTCTGCCACAGCCTCGGGCAGGCTGGCAGTCAAAACCAGGTGAAGGACCCTGACCAAAATGCATCTGCACTGCACATAGACAGGAAAAATATTAGCAAACATAGGGAATGAGGTTTCTAAGTGGAAAAAGCTTTGCTCTGGGGCTCTAATTACTTAGCAGGGGAGGAAGAGAACAACCCATGCAGGGCTCAGGCAAACAGGGGCAGTTGCTGCTAAAAATGCTACAGCCAAGCTTTCTTCACCAGTTCCCAGTCATGGCTTGGATGATTTCTGCTGGGGTCAGTAAATGAGAATAGAGGGGCAGAGGAGTCAAGAGCTCAATAGTTACCAAAGAAACTTGGCTACAAGTTGATCAATGTGGTTTGCAGCCAAGCCTGCTGGGAACCACTTGGCCAACTTTCAAATAAATGATACAGGGTAAGGACATTATCACAGCCATTGAAGTAGCCATAAACTGTGTTGTCCTTTTTGTGATGACCTACTCCTGCTTTGCAGTGTTAATAACTGTAAATACAGCAATTGTGTCAATTTGAGCTTAACCTGACACATTCAGAAGTGGTTTCAGGAACAGACCATTTCCCCTCTCCAACACACAGACCTAAGGGAAATGGAAAAGGGAACAACAGATACTATTTCTGAGGGTGACTAATTCTAATATGCTCTCTTGGGTATGCAGAGGATCACATTTACCAGCTCTAAGAAAACATTCCTGCAGCCAGCTTAGCCAGGATAGCTCCTGGGTACATGATAAAAATATCAGGATCAAGACTGAGCCTGAAAAAGGAATCTCAAAGCCTCCAGCTGCATCATTTTCATGATAGAACACAGGGAAGATTCTACGCTGCTGGGCAAGTGGAATCGTATTTGGTAGAGAAAGTGTGGGGGGAAAAAATAAATTGCTAATTTGACTCCCACCCTTCCCAGGAAGGTGTAGGGGAGGTCTTCAGCAGCAGATGTTCAAGATGTATTTGTTCTTGAGGCAGCTCAGCTACACTTCGGGCTTTGCTCATTTCCTGATAAGCTAAGGCAAAGAATGAAGGTGAGGGCAGCATTTCGTGGCAGAAAGCTCATTGCTCCAGAACTTACAACTGAAAACCTTGCTCAGAAAAGAGAACTGACAGCTTAACCATCTTTTCAGTGCTGTCACCCATGGGAAGGAGAAGATCATGCTCCTGGTGAGCATTCCTGCACAGCATTTTTTTAGTTACTTCCAGTAGACAGTATAAAAGTTCTCTTAGTTTAGACATGACAGTTTAACTACAGGCCCTTTATTTCCTGTCTTTCATTTTTAAAGACTTGAGCAGATGTGCATTCAGGCTCCATAAAAAGCTGCCTTTTTGCTGCAGGAGGTAGCTGAGCACATTCTCTTCCTCTTATCTCTAAAAATGGAACTCCTTCCCTCCTTGCACATACCCACACTGCTTGGTAACAAGCCCTATTTGCATTTGCTATTTTCTAGCCAGATGAGCCTCTACCAGCTTCCTGCTCCAGCCTTGGAGAAAGAAGATCTGTCACACAGCTAGCACAGGTAAACAAGAGCACCTAGGATTTAGAACCTGTAACTGAATCTCTCGGGTACAGAGAGAGAACAGGTTCTCTGCTGTGCTGCAAACCTCTGGGAAATGGCTTCCCTGCACATCAGGATGCCATCATCCTTACCAACAGGATCTCTGTGCAGTGATGTGGAGCTGGGAAGTGACACTGCAAGTGAGCTGCAAACTCACTTGGTATTTCTTGGTGTAATTACCATGTTTGCCCTAAGAACAAACCACGACACCCAGAGGTCACATCTAAATAAATGGCTTTGTCACCCTTTGGCCTCTGCAGAAATGAGTTCTGCAGCCACAGCCCAAGCCTGACAATCCCAGCTGTGCTTCACCCACAGCACAAGATCCCATCATTCAGCTGACAGCCTCACTGCCAGGGGAAAGCCATGCTTCAAAATAACTGGAAGTTGACTTGTTGCTTATTTACTGGGAATTTGGGACTGACTGTGCAGAACCAGATGACAGAGGAAAAACTCTCCTCTTTCCACCTTGTTTTTGTGCGGTTGTTTCTGTGGGTTGTTCTTAACCTTTTTCCATAGACAGGATGATCAAGTCATAGAATCCCAGACTGGTTTGGGTCAGAAGGGACCTTAAAGCTCATCCAGATCCAACCCCCTGCATGGGCAGGGACACCTCCCACCAGCCCAGGTTGCTCCAAGCCCCATCCAACCTGCCCTTCAACACTGCCAGGGATGGGGCAGCCACTGCTTCCCTGAGCAGCCTGTTCCCTCACACTCAAGAATTCCCTCCTCATGTCTCACCCCAATCTCCCCTTTTCCAGGTTTAATCCATCCCCCCTTGTCCTGTTCTTCCCTGCCCTTGTCCAAAGGTCCCTCCCCAGCTTTCCTGAAGGCCCCCTCAGAACATTTCTGCACCTGTCCCAAGTTCCAAGCAGGTTTCTCCCAGCTCTCTGCAGTGCAGCTCAGGGACAGTGTAAGGGACAATTCCAACACTCCATTACAAATCTGTTCTCTCTTAAACCCAAAAAATCCCCTGAAGCTGCCCTAATAAGGCAGAGCCTTCAGCAAGGGCAGGTCTCATCACCCATCTCTGCATTTCCCAGCATTGCATCTCAAGGCAAGTTAACACCAGTGTTGCACAGGAACTCCTAAACTCTGCTGCTCTTTGCTCCCTGTCTAAATACCTTCTGCCAGGGAGGCCTGGGTTTGCTGTACACGTGCATCCATCTCACCTGAAGAAGTGACAAATTCCCCAAGACAAAAAGACCCCTTGGATGTAGGAAGTTTCCTACAACCTCCTCTCCTTGCCCCTCTGCTTGTTAGTTCATCACAACTCTGCTCCAAGCTGGGATCTCCCCTGCCCTGCCCACAGCTTTGCCAGACTGACTTTGCTCACTTCAATTCAGAAACCCCCTTTCAGCTGGTGCTCTGGAACACTCTGGAGTTCAGCTTCTCCATTTCCACCCCTTCAGGAAGCTGGCAGAAGTGCTGGGTTGAAATCTTCTCTTGCAGTTGTTTGGGGTTTTTTTAAGATCCATACCCAGCAGCCTTCAGTTTCAGTTCAGAGCTACTGGATCTGCACCTCTCCTGCCAGCACAGAGAGGCCAAACTTGGTTTTTAAAGCCAGATCCAGACTTAGTAGCACTAATGCATTCCCCAGTGACATTCACCTTGATCACCAGCTTCCCCTGCACGTGGTACCTACCTCACCAACACCTCCTGGTCCCTCAGCCTTGGGCACAGCTGATGGATGGGAGCGGGATGGCCAATGGATGCTGGGAAGTGGTCCAGGCACAGCACCTTGTGCTCCTTCCACTCCATGTTACATGCTGAAAAGTGACACGAGGCACAGAGTTCACTCCCCACCAAGGGAAAAAGCTGGGGGAGGAGGGTTAAACAGGCATGAAAATGGTGTTTTAACTCTTAAAAAGCCCCACAATTGACTTCTGAAAGCCATCTTGCTAAATGAAGGGCTGGGAGTGGCACACGAGGTTATCCCTGCACAGGCCAAGCAGCAGCACACACTTCTGCAGGGGAATGGGTGGCCACGAGGCAGCCAAATCACCCAGGAAACCAGCATTTCTGATCTCAGAAATTGCCAAGGAATTCCAGAGTTGTGGAAAAGCTCTACCGGGGCATAGGAAGCTGGGAATCAGGGGAAGAAATGGCCCCCAGAAACCACGGCTGACGGGGAGTGTTCAAACTGTGTGAATAACAAGGCAGATGCATCTTTTGTTAAATACTGCAGGGAAACTCTTGATGTTGCCTTGTGACAAAAAGTGTCTTGTGTCACCTGTCGTGTCCAAGGGCAGTGCCACCCCTTTGCTTCCTCCCTCACAGTGGGTGCTGAGCAGGAATCCTGAGCTCCCCCTCCTGCAGCAGCAGGCGGCCTGGCGGGCACAGGAGCTGGGGCCCTTCATCCGCTTGTGCCTCCTGGACCAGAACTTCCCAGCTTTTGTGGAAGATGTGGAGAAGGAATTGAAAAAACTCACAGAAGGCTGAGAAATACTAAAGACTCCAGGGATCCCTGGGATTCACAAGCTGAGGTGTGAATAAATATTTGGAAGCCTCACACCTTTTTTTTTTTTGGTCAGTGTTTTATTTTTAAAAACAGGTGAATCCACTTTTTATACATCATTGCACTTCAACAAATACACAGAACACAAGTTCATGCAGCTACAGTTACACACACCATGGGAACCCTGGCAGGTCTATTTCTACAATCTTTAAATCATGAGAAATTACAGTGTCAAACTAAAAAGAGTAGAACTAGTTGCATAGAATATCACCATGCTGGAACATTTCATCATTTCAACAAAACAAAACAAAAAAGAAAATTATAAAAGTTTGCCTGAATTGAATGTACAAGAATATGTTGAACACATCAGTGCAAAAGGATTTGAGAATTTACATGATTTAACAAAAAAAAAAATAATAGAATCACTTAAAAAGCAATCATATATATATATATTTATAAACTGAAGTTTTGTTTCTCTTTTCAACTGCATTCCACCACCACCACCACGTCCAACCATTCCAGCTTGTGAAGTCTGATTATAGGACACCCAAGTCTCTCTCTCTCTCTATAGGTTAAGCCCTTAAAATAATTTCAATTTATATTAACTTCTCTGAAGTACCAGAACAGCAGAATTCTCTCCTCTTTCAGACATACAGTAAGGAATGAATATCAGCAGCTTCAAAATGAAACACGATTACTGTCGTTTGGTTTTCCACCATCATCATCATCCCCCCCCTCCCTCCCTCCCCCCAAATATAAATATATACTGTATATATTTTTAAGTCTCGCTGTACTTTACAAAAAGTCTCACTAGGTGGCAGCAGAGCGGTTTAGAGCCAATTTTAAACAGCTACAGGAAGTAAAAAATGGCGCATGCGTGAACCAGCTCACTACTCCTAAGGGTGAAATAGAGAGAAGGGAAAGAAAAGGGAAAAGGAGAAGAAAAAAAAAACAGAAAAGAAAGGAAAAGGAAAAAAAAAAAAAAAGCAACATTCACAGCACATCAAGCCCAAAATAGTTTACACCTTCTACACTGAAGCATTATTAAAATTTATCTGGCTAGGTCATCCTTACAGGAGAGGCTAAATAAGGCATGCGTTAGACAGTCATATTGTTGCTCACTTGGAAAGGAAAACCAAAAATAAGAATAATCAGACAGAACTGGAGTTCTAGAACCAAGAGTTCCAACCCTTAAATTTAGCAGGTCATATTGCCATCAGTCTCTCAGAAACTTAAAGCTCTAAAAAAGAAAGGAGAAGAGGTGCCAGTCAATGCCCGGCGTGTGTGTGTCCCTGCAGTCAGAGCTCAACAGCCCCGGGGCAGAGCCAGGTGCCCTCACCCCGGGCACTTCCACAGCTCTAATTACCACGTTTTCATTAGCAATAGGTGATTTCTATTGGTTTGAAACTCAGAAGGGAGATTTAGGTTGGGTAGTAGGAGGAAATTCTTCACTATCGGGGTGGTGAGGAACTGGGATGGGTTGCCCAAGAAGGTTGTTGATGCCCCATCCCTGGAGGTTTTTCAGGCCAGGTTGGAGGAGGTTTTGTGCAACCTGGTCTGGTGGTTCCCTGCTCGTGGCAGGGGCTTTGGGACTGGGTGATCTTTGAGGTCCCTTCCAACCTTCATGGTTTTATGATTATGCAGAATTCAACAGCTACTAGATCATTAAGCCACCTGCATATTATTAAATCAACCTTTTGGTTGTCCCGCTGCTCTGGGGCAGCAGCTCAGTGCCATCCTCCCCCACTGGGGACTTTGCCACATGAGCAGCAGGTGAAGTTCACACACCCCAACCACCACAGAACCAGGAAAGCTCTGGCCTGACCCTTCCCCAGACGTGTGCAGGTCATACTTACATGAGGAGCAGTTTTAATTTGTGTTTCTCTGGCGTAAGTTTTTATCTTTATGATTGTTTGTAGAATTGGTTTTCCTGGAGAAAGAAAGAATGTCCAAACAAAAAAACACCAAAATCAACCACAGGCATGAGGAAAAAATGTCTTTGGAATGACAAGTTAAAGAGCATTTTATTCTTCCTCTTCATAAGTGGATAAAGGGAAGACAACTCCCTTTATATATGAGGAGGATATAAAGATTATACCCTCATCTTTGTATCCTGGCCCAGCCCAGTTCCCCTCCCACATCAGTCATTTTGCTTCCAACTTTTGCTGCTTCCCTTTCACAGCTGAAGCAGCTGCTTTTACTTCAGGTCCCTGTAGAACACCCAACCAAAGAGGTCACCCCAGGAGATCCCATTTCCCTGCAGCACCAAGAGGTGTTCCCAACTCCCTCAGCAACACCTGCTGCTCCAGACCAGGCTGTGCAGGTCTCACCCTTCCTCACCCCACAAACCCAAGTGTCTGGAACCACTAGTGATGTCACCTCGACTCCCATAAACCCTTAAACTAAGCTCAGTTATATTTGTCTCACATTGGCCCAGCGGGTTCATCAGCGGCAGCAGGAAGTCCGATGCAATCCAGGGAAAAGACAAGGAAAGGAAAGGAAAAGGGAGTCAGTCTGTGCCCCGGGCACGGCCTGAACTGCAAACAGCAAACCAATCTATCTACAGCATTAAAGGCCATTCCACTTGGTAGTGCAAAGGTTCATGGAGTTATTTTTATCTGGATTCAGGTTTTAATGGCAGGTATGTTGCTTCAATGGTTTTTAGTTAACACTTTGAATGCTTGTCATGAAGAACTGCAACTGTAGCGGACAGATTGTTGCAATATGGTCAAGACTCATCTTGTCCCCAAGTTCCAGTGGTTCAATCTCATAAAAAATAGATGAGAAGACAAACCAACGTTTCAGTTGTAAAATCCTGCTGGTTGTTTTCTTGTTCAGGTTTTTTTTTTTCCCCCCCAAAAAAGGTGTATCTCATTATTTTGTCAGCCATTCTTCAACTGCTGATGACTGGTCTACACCCAGCAGGGCACACACACCATCTGCTCATCTCCCCTGGAGGTGACAGGACCCCTCTACATGTTCCATTTTTCTCAATGTCTAATTGAACAGAGCAGGTCAGGAGGAGGTTGGATGGGCAACCCTTGGTTCAAGGGTCCAGCCTGCTCTGTGGACAGCAGCAGCAGGTATCTGCCTCCCACAGGGCTCCAAACACCAGGAGGAGTTTGGGCTGTTGTCAGACCTCCAGCCACAACAGACTTCAGGGACACAAGACAGGCATTTGCTGTTCTGCCTGTGGCCCCGGGGAAAAAAATATTAGCTCTTAAAAACTGGGGAAAAAATCTGCCAATGAGGAACGTTTGGCATTAGCTCTTTTCATGACCAATTGAAGGCTTTTTTTTTTTTTTTAATGATAAACCAAAGCTTGTTTTGCTCCCGAGCTACAGGAGAGAAGCACAGAAGCATCAATTCAGGGCACGTGAACACTCCTATCAGGGGATTTTGGGGGGCCTGATTCAGGGCCTGCAGTCTGGGCACTCAACTGGTGCCGCTCCCACCTCGTGCAAGAGGGGTCGGGTTTTGTTTTTCCCCCGAAGTCTTTAGGAAACTCTCAGCAGGATTCCACAAGGGTGCTTAGTGCACATGAAGCAGTTATGGAGATTACAGTCTTAACAGTGTAAAGGCATCCGCATGAGCACACGCCGGGAGTAATGTCGGGCAGAGGGGACATTACTCCACCTGGACCTCCCGAGGCAACGGGGAGGCAAAGCCACCGCGAGCACGGACCGTGACAGGAACAAAAATAATAGTTCAACAAAAGAAAGAACTAACCACAAACCAAGAGCTTTTACAGCCAAAAGTAAACACACTAGCGACACACCAGTGTCCACAGAAGTCCATTACCAGCAACAGTGCACTATCGGACAGGGTACAGGGAGAACTGGGACTAGGAGGGACAACCAGACATCAATGTGCTGTTGTATATACAGTGGAGATATACAGAGACACATCAGGTACTGAAACACAGAGCACAGGAGATCTAGAGCTTCCCTCCACAAACATCTTTGGATGTGCAAAAGATCTGCAAGCAGCTGGCACTACGTCCTCCACCAGTGGGGTGGGAAGAGCTTGGGACACAGGGAGCCCTTCTGCCCCAACCCCCCAGCACTGCCACCCCTGCCCCTCAGCTCTAGGACGCTGATCTCAGCTTTTCTAAGAAGCAGAATCCACATCTTTGAGAGTTTGTTTGGCTGGACTTCAGAAACACCAGACTGCACCGTTACCAGTTCTCTCTGGCTGTAAAAGAACCATTTTCCCTTCTCCATGGAAATCTTGTGATGCCCATTTCAGATACATTGTTTTGTGTGTTTGAAAGAATAAAAATCAATCATAATTTAAAAAAAGCCTTCACATTTACACAGGCTGCCCTTGGGTCTCTTCCTAGCAAAGATCCAACATCCTTAGGAGAATACTGCTCATCTGGTGGATCCCCACCACTCGCCCCCTTTGCCATCTATAACTTCCAGAAGCCTCAGGACAATTTCTCTGTGTGTTACTATCCTGGCAGCCATGGAATTGCTGGAAAAGCATCCCTGGAACAGTACAGACAGAGACCGGAACTGGAGCGAAACCAGGGGGCAACAGAACAACAGAAATAGAAGTACAAAATTAGACTAAATAAAGATTAAAAAAACCAAAAACAACTAAACAAAAAAAACAACCCAACAAACCAAAACCAGCCAACTGAAATCCAAATTAGTTGTGAAGGTGAATGAAGGAGTTTGAAGGAGAAGTGTTAACATCATGACTTGTGCGTTGTATAGACTGAAGCGGAGGTTAAACAAACTCCAAAGCATGCAGAGCTCTCACTTACCACCAGTTTTTTAAGGGTATTGATGCAATTGAAGGGGGGGAAAAAAACAAACAAAAAAAAGAAGTCATAGTAACCCACAAAGATCAATATCAACTCAAAACCTTCATGCCAGACGAGCTGCTCTTGTCTCTAACAGCTGCGGCCACCAAGAACATCCTCCCACTGTGCAGCTTCATTCCATTCCGCTCCCCAAAGGCTGCCAGGCCAGCTGGGCTTTTGGAAGTGCCCACACTACAGCCCTCCTTCTGCAGGAATTGCCTTGTCAATTTGGAGAGGGCCTGCAGACCCCCAAACTCCCCGGATTTATATCAGAAAGGATGAAAGAGCACCCCAACAAGCCAAGCTTTCTGTGTGGGTAGAGGGATGATCTGCTCAGTGCTGCCCTAGACCGGCCCATGTCAGGACGGGGAGGTGCCAAGTGCTGCTGTCTTCAGTGCAATCCATCCTGCCAGGCAAAAATACCTGGCCATAAACATTGCAAGGTGATGACAAATAACTTTGCTTTAGCTCCTCCACTTGTATTAACTGTCTGGGAATGCAACTCACACTTCAGAAGCCTGAGAAAGGGGCTGTTTGGTGTCACCCCTTTTACCTTCAGACTTAATTTAGGAGGCATTTTAGACGTCAGTTTCATTTACTTCCTTTGCAAAGCCATGGGATTGATTTTTAATATCAAATTAATTTTGTGTAGCCTCTTACGACTGGTGGGAGTTAAAAATGAAAACACTGATGGGCACTTCCAGCTCTTTTGCATCCAAAGGGGCTCTAGGTGGCTGCTTGTGCTTTAAATCTCACCAAGAAATCCACCCCAAGGGGAGCTGAGTCCAGCAGCTTCAGCAGCACTTCTTCTACTCACACCTGCCTTTACAGACCAGCAGTGAACTGGAGCATTACTCCAATGAAACTTGGCTTCAATTTCTGTTCAGATGCTCAAAAGGAACATCTGTGGCAGCTTTGGGGCCCTGTGGTAAAACACAACTTCTCTGGTCTGCAGAGCAATTTGTCAGAACTACTACAGAGGGAATTTTGGATGGAAAAACTAGCAGCAGGGCTTGCTTTCTGGGGAGAGAAAAATCTGACAGTGGCTTGAAAATTTTGAGGAAAACATTAGAAAGAATATGGATCTGTTTGCCCAAGTTGGAAAAATTCAGATTTTTTTAAAATAAATTTTTCAAGTTTTGAACTCATGAAACACTTGGAAGGCTCCACCTGGAGCACCCAGAGCTGCCCACAACCACACAGGAGCCTCAGGCTCTCTCTCAAGGCAGCAGCTGGAGAGGACATAGAGTTACAGTGGAAGTGTATTCCAAGGGGAATATTTTGGAGGGAGGGGGAAGAAGAGGTGAGTGGAGACACTCAGCTTACTCCAATTAAAAAGCAATTAAAAGAAAGCAGTTGCTCCGAAATGGAATGAAGGCACAAGGTTGTGGGCACTGGAGAATCTCTGGCCAAGATTACTTACGTCAGACTGCAGGAATTCTGATCCCATAAGAGCACCTAAAATCAGTCTAGAAAGGCCCAGAGGACCCCAAGCTGTTCAATTACCACTGTGATACAACCATGTTGCTCCTAGTTGATAAGCTATGGAGTCGTGCAATGGGCCTATCTGATGATTTTCTCCCCTTGATGAATTTTAAGGGTGGGAGAGGAAAGGTGAGGGGAACAGGAAGGAAAAAACCCAAACCCAAATCAACTTGTTACTAGGTAAACCGTTTGTAAACATTTTGTTCTTTAAGTTACTTACAGTAATAGGCAGGAACAGGGACAGTCAAGAAAAAAAATAATGAGTATTGGAAAGAATGTGGGGAGATGGATGGAGCTTCTGCAGAGCTGGAGCAGAAAAACATGGATGGAAAGTCTTTGTATTAAGCTGAGAAATGAGAAGGGAGGAATGGAGAAGGACACGAGTTAACCCAGCCACCTAATGGCTTGGAGGTAAGGATCATGGAGAATATGGGTGTTGAAGTAAAAACTGTTGACATTCCTACAGGGGAATGTAGCCAAGAAGTTTTTACTTCCTACTTACCCCAGAACACACCCTTTAAAACAGCATCTTTGCTAGTTTTAGGCTATTTAATCCAACAACAGCAGAAAAATAAACACACTGTCTTTAAGAATCTTGGAGATACTACGTTCAGCTTACGATGGCCGGTAGCTACATCTACCCAAAATGAGCAGCTTAAGCTCTACCACAGAGGAAGAAAAGCTCTTTGCTTCCTTTCTCTTGTCAGGGGAAGCCCAAGCACTTTGCATTCCCAGCCATATGCCCCAGCAGGCCCTGCTGAAGCCCTTTCCCAGGGTGCATGCAGTGCTGTGCCAGCAGCACATGCCATGGCCATGCAGCTCTCCTCCCCAAAAAGCCACTGGAAGCTGCCCCCTTTGTCATCCCACCACTCTTGGTTTTACACAACCAACCACCTCCCTGGGAAAGGCAGGGGATCTTTCACCAGGTGTAAAGCAAGTCAGAAGTCTCACGTTGAAAGGGTGCAGAAATTCCAAGGTAATCTGCCCTCCCTTCCTCCTTCCAGTACATCACTTGGATGCAAGGGGGGCTGGCACCCCCAGGCAGGGCACTGGAGGTGCTCCCTGCAGTCACCTCCCCCCCAGAGGATGAGAATGCCCCTAAATCCACAGGCACGACAGCAAGAACCTGCACTGGGCATCCCCTAATGCCATCCTTGCACCATTTCTGGTAGAAATATGGATTTCATGGGTGCAAAGATCCTTTTATTCTGCTATAAAGCAGCAGAAGGGAAAGAAAAAAGACACTGAATGATGTGGAGGAGGAGATATCAGCAAAGGAGCTGCTGAGAAGCCCTGCTCTGGGGCACAAAAAGCAAAGAGACTAAAGACCAAAGGCAAGGTCCATGCAAAATAAAATAAAGAAAAACCAGCAACCAAAGAACTGCAGTCAGGAAATGCCAAAGTTAAAGGAGTGTCCCTGCCTTTCCAGCACAGCAACACTCCTAGCTGGAGGTAACACCTTTGGTGAGGCCAGGGAATACGTTTGGAAAGTACCTGGGAACACACAGCCCTTTATCCTCCCACACATTCCCAAACCTAAGTGGCCTCACTCACTGCAGCTCAGCAGTAAATGGAGAAGAGCTGCTCCAAATGTACCCAGGTGAGCTGTCACTCTACCCACCCACAGGAGGTGAGGCACTTGGCAGGCTAGGACAGGTCATTTTTAGCCTGTGGAACATGGAGATGAGAGGGAATTAATTGAATTGGCTTTATTTTGGCTGGCCAGGTTGAGTTCCCAAGTGCTCTGGAAAGCATCCCAGACACCTTCCAGGACAGATAATGTTTCTCTCCAAACAGCCACAACCCCCACTAGCAACTGGGTGCTTCTGTTCAGGATCAAAAGGCCGTTTTGGCACTTCTTGGATTAACCTCCCCACAAAGGTACAGCTCTCAAGCCTTACTTACTATTTTTTAGGCTTATGCAGCTGTGACACCACTCACTTTTCTATGGAGATCTTACAAATATCCTCTTCTGTCTGTGTAAAGTGCAAAGAAAACCAGTGGAATTACCCATCTGGTTTGTCCAAGGGTTTTTCCACCTGAGAAACATATTCCTCTAAAAAACTGTTCCTCACCAGTCAGGGTGGAGCAGGGGGACCCTCAGGATTTGCTGTCCCACTCCCTTATGCTGCACGAAGTTGGGTGATTCTCTGGAGAGCTGGAAGTGCTAAATAGTTCAATACAGTTCTCCAAAAAGCATCAAAGGGCAGGAAGATGAGCAGCTTCTGGAAGGTGGCACCTGGGGAAGGCAGGCTAGGACAGCTGAGAGAGGTGGAAGGATTCCAACTAAGAGTGCCTGTTGTTAGTGGAGGATGGAGCCATCCTGCTCCTGCTTCCAGCTGGGGCTGGGCTGGTCCCAGGGGATGAACACAGCACACCCTGCAGGGCTGCCAAGGAATTTGTGGAAGCTCAACTGAGCCAGCCCTGGAAACCACATCACCTGGACATGGCAGAGCTCAGCGTGGGCACCAGCATCTCCCAGCAGGACCTGGGGTAGATGCAACTGAACTGCATCTCAGCCCACGCTGCCACCAGTCAGGCTCTGTGTGGCTGCAGGTGTCTTCTAGATCTCACAGATCCTTCAGCTCCAGAAAGGCTTGGATTTTTCTGTAGATAGGGGAGTTACCACATTTAGCATCCCTGTTTTCCTTAAGAAATCCTAAAGCATCCTGAATAAGTCATCTTATTTAGCCCCAACAGGAGAAGGACATGGATTTCCTGGAGAGAGTCCAGAGGAGGCCACAGAGATGATCTGAGGGCTGGAGCAGCTCTGCTCTGGAGCCAGGCTGGGAGAGCTGGGGTGTTCAGCCTGGAGAAGAGAAGGCTCCAGGGAGACCTTAGAGCACCTTCCAGTGCCTGAAGGGGCTCCAGGAAAGCTGGGGAAGGACTTAGGACAAGGGCAGGGAGGGAGAGGACAAGGGGGAAGGGATGAAAACTGGCAGAGGGAGATTGAAGTGAGACATGAGGAGGGAATTGTGGAGTGTGAGGGTGGTGAGAGCCTGGCCCAGGTTGCCCAGGGAAGCTGTGGCTGCCCCATCCCTGGCAGTGTTGAAGGGCAGGTTGGATGGGGCTTGGAGCAACCTGGTCTAGAGGGAAGTGTCCCTGCCCATGCAGGGGGGTTGGATCTAGATGATCTTTGAGGTCCCTTCCAACCCAAACAGTCTGGCATTTTATGATCTTTGCACATGGTCTACACAGAAAGATTCTCAAGGGGACAAAGCACTTGACTCAATATGGGAGGCATCTCCTCTCCCTGAGGTGGGATCTACAGCACCCCATGGGCCACTCTGACCACTGCCAAGGGGTGAGAGGACAGCACCCCAGCATTCAGGCTGTTCAGAGGCAGCAGGCAGTGGGGGGACGTGCCAGGCCAGATGAGAACAACCCACCAGGCAGTGCTCCAAAGTCCCATGCACACTGGCCACCCATCCTCAAACATGGCTGGGGTTTCTTGGCTGCTGCTGCTACTGCAGAGCAGAGGAAGGACAGGAAGCCTTAGAGCTTAACACATCCAACCAATGGTAATAACAGTAATTTATATATTAGCTAAAACCACCTGATATTTGAGAGGTATCACAGCTCTTGCCAAATAGTACTTATTTTAAGGAATACGGTGTCCAGCCTGGAATCTGCCTGAGTTGCTAGCTCAGCTCTAGGGTGTTATCTGCTCACTGCAGCATGTGGAGGAGGATGGAGGATTTTGGAAGCAGAGAGTTTGAATTCCAAACCCTCCACAGGCTGCTGCATTTGAACGTTAACTTTGGCATTTCGTAACAAGGAATTTCAAACAACCAAATGAAGAATGACTGAAGGAAAATATCCAAGTGTGGAAATCAGCAGACTATCAATGATTTCTCACATCTGCATTTGTAAAATGCCCCTGCTCCTGGGGTATTTCCCACCACGACATCATGGAAAGCTCCAAATGCAAGTGCAGAAAATGCCGGAGTATCCAAAGGGAACGTAGGACTCGAGTTGGTCTTTGGTTGAGAAGATGTGATGCTGATTTTATCTTTCCACCCAGGCAAACCTAATACACAGGTACTGACTGTGACAGGGGTTTTGCCCTCCAAGAAAGTGGACAGAGAAAACATCTGTCCACTGGAGAGGTGCTGGAGTCAAGCTTAGCTGCCTTCAAAATAACAGCAGACTGAGCAAGCAGATTTAGTAACCTTGGTTACTTGGCTCATCATCTCGGACACATCCATTGGAGATGATGAGCCTGGATCCCTCAAAGCATCTGAGGAGCAGCTAGACCAGCCAGGAAAACTTCAGGGAATAAACAGGTATGAAGCTCTGGGCCCCTAATGTGTGCTCAGTTGCACCAACGTGGTGGTTGCACCGGGATCTGGTCAAGTCAAAGCCAATTTCTATTGGATCAAAAGTCCATTTGAGGCTGCAAGCTATTAATGCTTATCAAATTACAGAGCTTGTGAAACACCAGCCAATGACATTCTGAAATGCAGGCAACTATGGACACCAAAGAGGTGAGGTTCTCCCTTGGCCACCCCAACATCAAAGTCAGGCCAAGGGCAACGTGCAAGGGAACATTTAAAATGTCTCTTTGGAAGTTTTCTGGGCTGGTTGAGAGCCACTTTGGGGACAAACTGCTGGCAGTATCAACCCCTCAGCAACTGCAAAGCTGTTAGTGATGCAGTGGAACATGCACTACCCAGTTTCAGTTGTGTTGGATCCACACCTAGGCCAGTGCATGCTCTATGAGCAGTTAGTAAATGCTACCCAAGGGGTTAAGACCCAAAGCTGGTTTCCTCTAGGTATGCACTAGTTAAAGACAGTTTTGATCTGCTCCAGAAGTGATCCAAGCCTCAGCCATTCTCAAAATATTAACATTTATTATCTGTTTCATAAGGTTTTCTTTCTTTTCTTTCATTCTCTACAGGACAGCTCAGGGACAGTGAAGGTGATTTCACCCAAGCTTCACAAACAGGTCACTGCTTCCACACCTGTTCTCCTCCCAAAAGGCAAACATCCTGCTGTGTTGACATTCATCCCTCCTGCAGCTTGACAGCAGCTCCTGGTTGCTGCCCAAGCCACAACACAGCTGCCTTTGGAAGTCCTCTACCATGGACTTATCCAATCCAGGAAGACACCAATGATTCAGGGCTTCCCATTCTGATTCAACGGGTTTCCCTCCACATACTCTGAAACTCTTGCTCCATTCCTCATATGTGCCATGTTCCTACAACAGGATGGCACACCAGCTGCTTCTCCCAAGGATTCCTTGGGTAGGTTTCCTTGATAAACACTGTAGTAAGCAACTGGGTGTCACATTAAAGCCTGTTTCTCAATGTGGTTCTTTCAAATACTCATTTTAGCCTCAAACTGACCCTTCCTCCATCTTTTCTCAAGGAAGGTATGTGAAATAAGCTCAAAGAAGAAAGTTACTACTTTTTTTTGGTGTACCAAACACAGTGTAACTACTTAGTGCTACCATCAAACCTGACAACAAATACCTAATCTTTAGAAAATATAACTCAGTGGCTATTACTCTTAGATACAGTTTCCAGAGCATTCCTTAAAATCACTTACAGACCAAAATAAGAGCCCTAACTCCACCCTTTTAACATTAAAACCAAGTTTTATTTCTGCAGCCCCAATCCCTTTACAGGGTAATGTTTCCTTACAAAACCTGCCCAGTGTCCATTCCAGATGTCCCATGAAGTGGGAGTGCCACCAGGGATTAGTGTTTCCAGCTCTCCCCTTTGTGCTGCTCTAAGCTCCTTAGGGCTGCCATGCAGGATCTCTCAGGGCTAATGCAGCAGGAAAGCTGGGAGAGCTCGACCCACCTTGAGCAACAACAGCTGGGAAGACCATGCAAGAACCACCCTCCCACCCCACAGTCCGAGATGTGGGGGAAATCCAGCGTTAGGACCTTCCACAGCACTTGGGACCCTCCACATCTGCTGGGCTTAATGTTTGGAGAGTGAAGAGGTGAGAGAGCAGAGAGCTGAAGGAACTGTGCTGCTGATGCTTCCTGCCACCAAGCCCCACTCTGTCCTGCTTCCACTAGTTCTGTCTCCTTCCTGTCTCTTGCCATCTGCCTCCTCACGAGCGGCTCGGCGGGCACTTACCGTCCGGGACTTCATCCGGCCTCTTCCTTTTCTCATAGATAACTATGATGACAACGAGGATGACAATTTCTGCCAAGATCCCCAAAAAGGGCCAGAGGGGAGCCAAGTGGCTGCGGACACGCAGGATGGTTGTGACCGAGACGGAGCCGACCTGGTTGGTTGCATTGCACTGGTACTCGCCGGGATCCTCGTTTATCTGCAGGTTTGTGATGCTGAGCTCAGTGTAGTTGTCCTTGTTGGAAATAAAGAATCTGCCAGAGGAGTTGTTGATGTCCTGGTGAAAGGAAGGAGGTGGAAGAGGAAAAGAGCAAGAGGTTTAGGAAGTGCTGGTGCCTCTTCCTGTCTGTGTCATGGAAACTAGAAGAGGTTTGAGGGGCTCTTGCAAAAGCTGGTTCTGTAACGCAACGGAGGAGCCCACTGCAAGTTTTGTGCTGTTTCTCTCCTAAGGGGAACTGTGCTTCAAAAGAAAGCAAAAGAAAGAGCCAGCTTGACTGACAAGCTGTGCTTTTATCCTGCTTTAACAGTATCAGCCACAAAATAGCCAGTGATTGTGATCAGGCACCACGTTCTCAACCTGTTGCTTCAAGCGAAACTGTTGCGCTCCACTCACCAGTTACAGCAACGAGATCAAACACGTCGACCCACACAGATGAGACAAGTAGCAAGAGAGAGGAGACACATTCCCTAGCAGGGCACAAAATTAGTTACTTCACTGCCAAGGGGGAAAAAAAAAGAAAACCTAATCCCAGGTCAGATACTCTACACTGCACTAGGCAGCATTTTGTAACTATTTAAGGTCATGCCCTAATATAAAGTTGGCTTTGCTGTAGGTTTAAAACCAACACCCACTGCTCACAGACCCATGGCCAGGGCAGCCCAAGCCACTGACTTCAGGAATATTTAGAGAAGCTGGAATTTGAGGCCCTTATTCTTTCTACATTTGACACAAAAAAAAATAAAATAAAATAAATTTAGAGTTGCTTAAGTTGAAAGAATTTAAAAAGGGGTAAAACTTCTCTAAAATATGGATATTTGATCTTCCTGAAAGTTTACCTTGGATTACTTTTTTGTCAAATGACTTCAGTGTGAAGGGAGATCTGCACAGTGACCACCCCAGGGGACCCTGCTGACCCACAGCACTTGGTAAGTCACTCAGGCAGCACTGCCCCATCAAAATGTGAGCTTGCACTTATCAGGGAACAATCAGCCCACACCATTATTTGCTTAACATTTTTCTTCATCTGGCAAATCAAACTGCTACCTCCCTGGCAGATCCTGGAGCAACATGAAAATAGGTGGGCTGAGGATTCAGCCACCTCCAGCTTCTCTTCTGCTGTCCCAATTGCTGGTCAAGTGTTTCCACTCCCTAAATCAGTCACCACATGGAAAATTATGACCACTTGAACACTAGCAGGTCTCATCACCACATCCTCAGATTAAGCCTTGTGAGCTCAACCAGAAAGACTGGAAAACAGCTGGAGAAGTTTATAACCAAATGCATTTTAAACCACATTTCATAACTCCCAGTTTGCCATTTAGAGCAAACACCCCATATCTCTCTGGACAGTTCCTAACTTTACCCAGCAGCAAGGCAGAGAGCACCTCCATTCACAGCAACAATTGAATTCCCCATTTTATACTCACTGCTGCTGAAGAATTCCAGCTGTTGGGAATATAATGCAGGGCTGACACCCTGGGTTTCTCACCTCAAAGACTCCATTGACCTTCTTGCGCCACACCCACTCGGGATGGGGGAAGCCCACAGACTTGCAGTACATCAGGGCTTCTTGCCCCTCGTTTTTATTTTCACTTCTCTTGTGGCCAGTGATGTCAGGAATGGCTACAAGACAAAACAAAAATCTCTGTGTTTACAAGCTGCTCATTAGAGAACAGCTGTTCCTTCCCCACCCTGAGCTGGTCTCACAGACAGAAAATGGCAGTTTCCACATCTCTCCCAGCAGCACCTCAACTGAAGATCAGCAAGAGTGTCCTTCAGGCTTGGTTTGCCAGACAAATTGAGAGACAAGGGACAAATTCAATATCAAACTTGAGTTTATCCACCAGAAACTTCAAAAACTAGGATGGCCCAGCTGGTTTCCCAGTGCAGGAAGCTGAGAAGCACCCACGTTCCCCTCTCCCACCAGTCAGGAGGTCACTGTGACTCTGCAGAGCCTTCAGCTCTGCAGTAAAAGAGGAGAGATTCTGGTGACAACCTGCCCATGGTGTCAGAACTCAGACCTGATGCTGCCTTAGCACAGGTTTCTGAAAGCTGAATCAAGGTGTTCTTCCCTGCAGCAAGATTTTAGATTTGGCCCATGGATGTGCAGTGACTTGTCACCCCTTATGCTTGTCACTCCTTATAGTGACACTGGCCCTGGGTAACTGCACTGCAGCAGGACTCAAAACCCCTCCAGCACAGAGTGTTTCATTTATACACAAACACAATGATGGAATCCCAGGCTGGTTTGGGTTGGAAGACGCCTTAAAGATCACCCCCTTGCAGGGAACACCTCCCACCAGCCCAGGTTGCTCCAAGCCCCAGCCAACCTGCCCTTCAACACTGCCAGGGATGGGGCAGCCACAGCTTCCCTGGGCAACCTGGGACAGGCTCTCACCACCCTCACACTCCACAATTCCCTCCTCATGTCTCACCTCAATCTCCCTCTTCCAGTTTTCATCCCTTCCCCCTTGTCCTCTCCCTCCCTGCCCTTGTCCCAAGCCCCTCCTCAGCTTTCCTGGAGCCTCTTCAGGCACTGGAAGGTGCTCTAAGGTCTCCCTGGAGCCTTCTCTTCTCCAGGCTGAACACCCCAACTCTCCCAGCCTGGCTCCAGAGCAGAGCTGCTCCAGCCCAAGGAGGGCTCCCCTGGACTCTCTCCAAGAGCTTCATTGTCCTTCTTATATTGTGAACTCCAGAACTGGACACAGTGCTCTTGGTGGGGTCTCCCAAGACCAAACTAGAGTGGGACAATCCTCTCCCTGGCCCTGCTGGCCACGCTGCTTTTGCTGCAGCCCAGGACATGGGTAGTTCTGGACTCCAGCACACATTGCTGGCTCATATTTTTAATATATATTTATAAGTTCTAAGGAGGGTTGCAGGTGGAGCTGGACAACCACAAGCAAAACACAGCCCTGAATATCAGCAGAGGGTCTTCTGAATTGATTAATCTATAAATAACGCCCCTGCCCTTTGCCACATTCCTCACAGCAGCCCGTGGCAGCCTAATACCTCACGAGAGATTAGGATGGATCAGTGACTGCCTGAGCTGAACCTTCACTTAAGCAGATGGCTTTGGTGCTGCAGTGACCACCTTTAAAGCCCATTCGCTTTCTGGCCTGCTAATTATGGCACACGTGGCCTGTTATGTGATGGCAGGACACTGATCTGTTAATCCAGTCAAAGTCCAGTCTGAGTGCTGCAGGAAAAGACCCCTGGGCTCTGGAATTTACTCTTCTACTCAAGGGGAAGCTTCCTTTCCCACCCAGCAGCCCCTACAGCCTAGTGGAGACAGAGGGGGCACAGGCTTGTGACCCCTGATCTGCAGGCTAAAAGAGTTCAGCAGATTTCACAGCTGCAGTTGCAGCAAAGAAAAACATGCAAAACATCTTGTGCAACAGGACAGCATCAGCTGGGCCTGCTCTTCCCAAAGGTCACATCATAACTCTTGGGGAGATTGTTTAGCAAGTTGAAGTGCTAAAGGAATGATGGTATTTCAAAGGCAAGAGCTTTTCCAATGAAGAAAGCAGCCCACGCCTTACTCCTGCCAGCCTCTTCTTGGACAGCTATGCAGCAGATTGAGAATGTTGCTAAGAGGAAGAATTAAGCTTCTGAACAACAGAAAAATCATGGTTGTGAGGATACTTCAACAATCCTTAGATAGCACCAGGAGAGGCTGATCAGCCCAGGCTTTTCTCAAAATCTCTGTGAAAATTTGAACAGGATTTCCAACACAGAGAGAAGCTTCTCAGAGGTTCTGACCATTTGCTGTGTACAGGAACAAGCACTTGCAGCTCTCAGAATTAACTCACTCTTGGCAGTTTCATTTTCTAACAGCTTGCTCCAACTCTGCACCAGCCAGAGCTGTCATGTGCACTGTGATGCTGAACTGATCCTCCATGCTAGACACAGCTGCAGAAGATGCAGAGGCCAGGTCCTTAGCAGAGATCCTGCCCACCAGAAATGGAAACTAACTCCAGGAGTTCCAGTCAAGGAATTTTTTCCATTTAAAAAATATTTTAATATGTTAAGCTTCTTATCTTCCCCCCTCTGATTTTTAAGCTAATCTCTCTTCAGCAGGGAGCTGAAAAAGACTTCATTACCCAAGAAAAATACTGTGATTATATCATCCCATAGGGAAGAATTATAGAATCATAGACCGGTTTGGGCTGGAAGAGACCTCAAAGACCATCCAGTTCCAACCCCTCTGCATGGGCAGGGACACCTCCCACCAGCCCAGGTTGCTCCAAGCCCCATCCAACCTGCCCTTCAACACTGCCAGGGATGGGGCAGCCACTGCTTCCCTGGGCAACCTGGGCCACGGTCTCACCACCCTCAACACTCAAGAATTTCCCCTCATGTCTCACCTCAATCTTTCCTCTTCCATCTTAAAACCATCACCCCTCATCCTATCACTACAAACCCTTGTAAAATTAGGTGAAGGAAGTAGCTGATGAAAGTCTGTGTGTATCCACATAGGCAAGTGATGGCTTTGCTGACAAAATTCCATGTACATAGTTGAAGAGCCAGACCAACGGATGAGGCTTGAAAAATGCCAAGTCACTGCAAGATGATGCCAACCATGATACATAAGAACAAAGCACTAGGGGTTATATATAAGAAAACTGACACCTAACAAGGATCTCTACACAGCCAACATGAAAATACTTTGAGATCCAAAAGCCTGAACTAAATGAAGACACCAGATCACAACAGTTCTCAGGTCTTGTGCAAAGAGAAGCTGCCAGGTGTAGAAACAGAAGCAAGCTGGACAGGGCAGAGCACTCCATACCTGCTAAGTGATCACTACTTGTGGCTCCCAGGGGCAGGAAAACTTGGAGGAACTTAAGTTTTCAAGCTGAAGGTCTCAAAGAAGAAACTAAATCAGCTTTAGGGCTGAGTGCTCTGCATATCCAGGATCAGCATGCACCTACAATGTCCTTTCAAATCACTGCCTGCAGACTGCAAGAGGAATGTAAGATTTATTCCAAAAGATGGTGGTTCAACAAGAGGTTAATTTCATTTCATGATCTACTGAAAGGCTTCATCTCCTCCTTGCTAGGCTTGGAAAGTTCTCCTTCAGGCAGGAGCTAGGGAAACCAAATGACTACCATGAGATGTGGACTTCCCTGAGGATGATCCAGAGATCCCATCCAACCTACTGAAAATGAAAGGCCAGCAGAAGCAGAGCACACGAGATGGATGTAAGGTAGCACGGCAAGGTCCCAAACCTGGCACTGAGGGGCTGTCAGCAAGGATTGCAAATTACCCCAATTAGGAACAGAAGAAATAGGATCCATCAGCTTGGAGCTGAAGCCCCACACAGTCTCCCATCTGTCAGCACTTGGTTTTCACTGCCACCTCCCAGCAGAGTCAGAGCAGGGGAAAGGGCAGAGCAAGTCAGCACTCTGCAGCTGCCCCACTTTTTCTGTAGGGCTGCTGAGAGAGAGAGGGAAAGAAGGGAAGGTTTCTAGGACACAGTATCTTTCTACTGCAGGGTGACCTAGTGTTCTCCTCCAGCCAAGAGATAATTATTTAAGAAGAGGACATGTTCATTGGGATATCCCAGTGAGAGCAGAAGTGACAAGAATACATCCTGCTCTTCCCTTGCTGGGCACAGTTCTGCAGCAGCCATTTCCAGCACTGCTGGGCCAGGGACTATTTTTGTACACAGTCTGAGGGGAGCACTGCATGGAATATTAATATGTCAGGGCATCTGATGCCAGCCAGTTTCAAGCTATGGCTGAGAGACATGAATCCAGAACTTATTCTCACAAACTGTTTGACTAATTGTGCTCTGCTGTACAAACTGCAAGAGCAACTGACGTTGGTCACAGATTTAGCAACACAGGGAGGTTTTCCTGTGAAGCTTTTTTCCCTCCTTACAGGAAGAACACGGAGCTGTTGGAGGGTCCAGGGCAGGACCACGAAGATTATCAAAGAGCTGGAGCAGCTCTGCTCTGGAGACAGGCTGAGGGAGTTGGGGTGTTCAACCTGGAGAAGAGAAGGCTCCAGGGAGACCTTAGAGCAGCTTCCAGTGCCTGAAGGAGCTCCAGAAAAGCTTGGGAGGGACTTTATACCAAGAACAACAGTGACAGGACAAGGGGCAATGGTTTTAAATTGAAAGACAGGAGATTTAAGTTAAGACGTTATGAAGAAATTCTTTGCCATGAGGGTAGAAAGGCACTGGAACAGGTTTTGCCCAGAGAAGCTGTGGCTGCCCCATCCCTGGCAGTGTTGAAGGGCAGGCTGGATGGGCTTGGAGCAACCTGGGCTGGTGGGAGGTGTCCCTGCCCATGCAGGGGGTTGAAACCTTAAGACGTTATGAAGAAATTCTTTGCCATGAGGGTAGAAAGGCACTGGAACAGGTTTTGCCCAGAGAAGCTGTGGCTGCCCCATCCCTGGCAGTGTTGAAGGGCAGGCTGGATGGGCTTGGAGCAACCTGGGCTGGTGGGAGGTGTCCCTGCCCATGCAGGGGGTTGAAACCTGATGATCTTTAAGGTCCCTTCCAACCTCCAGCATTCCATGATTCTCTGACTCTAAGATTTTTCTTACACCATTCTGCTCCAGTGCCAGTAACAGACAAAGCACAGGATGAGACAGGGTTTGTGCAAAAAGGATTCAGATTTCACTTCAGCTTAAGCAGCAGAATCCCCATCTCTGCTCAGCTGCAGCTGGTTGTGAGAGGTGGGCACAACAAGCTCTGTCAGCTCCTACACTGGTGAAACCCAGAGAAGGCCCCTAATAAAAGAAAACAAGCTTTTTTATTCTTACAGTGTGAAACAGAAAAACTAAACCCTGCTTGTTTGAAACAGCATATGGAAGAGCAGGATGAGGCAGTGCTAATTTTAATTAATTGCTACTTAAAATTAACAAAAAGAAATCCCAATTTAGCCATTCCTGACTCAAGTGTAAACTTCTGATAAGCATCATTCTTTTGACAGTTTTAAACTCAATAACAGCAGAAAGGGGTCTTGTGCCAGTGTAAACCTTGGACCTTTAAGTATCTCACAGGCACTAAATACACTATGCTGCAACTTTTGAGGGGTATTCATCTCTGAAAAGAGAGGTTGTCCCTTGTTACAGGGCATGCAATGTCATTTCTGGATATATAGGAGGTATTCAGCCCTTAATTGCCAGGTATTTTCAAGCTATTTTACTAGCATTGCTAAAAAGGGTAAGAACTAATACGCAGAACACCCCCAAACCATGTCCCAGTTCACAAAGCCCCTTCAAGTTTTCCCATTAAGAGACAAAATTAAAGCAAGGGCAAAAGCACCTAAAAATATTCTTGCATGTAAAAATTATTATGTCTTATGGGTGACCTAGTAACAGGGCTCTGGATGATTCATTTTTCTGCATTTTTATTCTAATCCATGTCCACCTTTATAGCCTAGGCAGAGAGCAAAAGAGGTAGGAAGGGAGAATGTGAGGTGCATTTCCTGTGTCAGGCTTGGGATGATTCTAAGGTGCAATTGTGCTGAGAGAATACCTGTTTTCTTCACTCATTTTGGTAAGAGTGTTGTGAAACTGCATTCCAGGTTTCTTGAGACAACCAGGAACCAAGAAACCAGGATCTTCCAAGGCTGCTGAAATAACCACTTGCTTTCCAGCATGCTGCTTGAGCTGGAGCCAGAGCCAAAGGGGAAGAGTAACATGCTGAGCACAGGGATTGCATGGGAAGCAAGAGCCTCTGGCTTAGCTGAAGTTAAAGAGTGTAATCAGCATTGTTCCAAAGTGGGAAGTTTTATGCCTCTCAGAAGCCACAAACAGGACAGGTCTGAGCACTTGCTCCTGGGAAGTCAGCTGCAGCTGGGGAAGATAGATGAGGAAGGAGCAAAATGAGCAAGGGATGAGGAGGGAAGTCAGAAGAACACCCTTGATAACAGCCAAAAGGTCTCATTGGAAGAGGCATTAAAGAGTTCTACCTGTCCAGGTGCCTGGAATGGCAGGAGCCTGTGATGAAAAGGCAGGGCAGAGAGAACAGGTGCCCTCCCTCCTTCAGTCCTGCTACATCCACCAGCATCTTTCTTGATGCCTGTGCTACTTCTGGGCAGCCAGAGGGAACTGGAAGCATGTTCTTCTCCACCTGGTTCTTGCTGCTGCTCTGCTGCTCTCCATGGTGTGGAGTGTCAGAAGACAGAGAACCAAACTTCCTTCCTCCTCCCAAGATCTTGATCAGAGCAGAAAGAATGCAGAGGCAGAATTCTTCAGGGCTGCATTTTGGTTTTGTTTTTTGGTGTTCTGACTTTCTTTTAATCCTCAGCCTTTTGTTTCAACAGCTTAGAGCTGCACTCACACAATGCCCTTAACAGCTCTGCCATCAGTTCTACAAGAACACTCCAAGTCTCCACCAGACACTTCATCCAACTGCAGGAGGGAAGCCAGACTTCTGCCATTCCTGGGAATTCCCAGAGACTGACATCAAACCCCAGTAATTTCAACTGCTCTTACACTGGTGCTGCCCTAGGATTTGTTTGCACCAAGAAAATCAGCTTTAAACAGGCAAGCACAGCTAGGAATTCTGACAGCCATGCTCGTGGTGCTGCATTTTTACCCTCTTACATGGAGGGACTCAGGGGAAAACAGGCAACATTACATAAAAGGCAAATGGCACTGGTGTACCCTGGATTACATCTGCTGTGAGGCACTTGTTCAAGTTGTTCACAAGTTGTCAGAAAGTCACTATTTTGGTCCACGAGCACTTTCGTATTCCAAACCATCCTTTCTACTTGCATCAGCAGTTAAAAATTGCCAATACAACTACAATCAGCAATTCAATTTCTGTACAATTGCTTGTCCACTAATACTGGCACAGGCCACACCTGCAGGTAAGCATTAAATGACTGCATCTCTGGGGTCAAACAATGCAGCCCAAATTCATTACTATGTAACAGGAGTCAGATAGGAAAGAGTCTCCTCAGTCTAAAAACATACACACATTTCAGTTTCCCATGTGCTCTGCAGAAGATTTGACAAGGTACTTCCCACTCCAGACAAGCCCTGGAGCTTCATCTTTGCCATGGAGGGATTCAAGGCCCACCAGACACTCCAAAGAGGAGCTGAAGAACAGGGTTCTGAGTCCTGGAATTGCACCTGCTGAGCCAGCTGCAAGTGTGACACCTCCCCACAGTGGTGCTGGAGTCATTAAGTACTCACTTGTATTTAGATATAAATTAAGTGTGAAAAGTTGTTAGTAGGACTAGTTATTATTCTCCCTCTGCATTTTGTGCCAGTTGTTCAATCAGATATATTAGCTTTTCTTTCTACAATGTTAAATCCCATGTCCCTGTAAACCTCTCTGCCAAGTTCTCTTGGTGTCCCTGCCTGGCATGGGACAGCAGAGCAGCCCTGAGCCAAAAGTTTCTGAAAAGTGTTTTGAGAGATGATATAAAGCTGAAAAAGGTTTTAATTTATTACCAAAGTTCAAAGTCCCTGTCTCTGAAGGTGGTTTGGCACCCAAAGCAGCCTAAAGAAGGCAGAAAGGACTTCAGATCTTAATTAAGACAATATTGAGTTTTAACGATTATAGAGTAAGAAGAGAATGGGGAAAAAAAAAACACTCACAAAGGAAAAAAACCACCCCCAGACCCTTGTACCTTGAACACCCAGGAGACAACAAGCTCTCCAGAAGTACAATGCACGTTTGAATTCACCTTGCTGCAAGCACAGCAATCATCATTTGTAGAGGTGCAGGCAGCTTTCCAGTCAATACATGTCTTTCCACAACTACTAGCTAAGGGCACCAGGAACCTGTGCTGCATCCACACGAGGACATATTTTAGATTTCCTTTTTCCTTGCAAGGGCAGCTTCTACACCAGATTTGGCTGAACACTGGGTATACTTTGGTAAGTTTTATGCAAGCTCATTAAAAAACAAACCCTTAAAATTGGCACAGGAAACCAGCAAGCTTTTCTTGGTACAGTATCAGTCAGGATGCTTATCTGTAGGGCAATATTTCTCTTCCCCAAGGGAACTGTTTTTATGGTTCAAAAGAGCTGTTCCCTGGAAAGGCAGCAGGCAGAATGATCCCGTGCAGTTGTCACTTCACACAGACTGCTGAGTTACTCCCACTTCCTCACTTGGGATTCAGGAACCTGAGCCTGCAGAGAGGCATCAGAAATTCCCAGGAAAGAGGTCAGCATTTGCTACAGATCTGTGATCCTCCATGTCAGCAGGGATCATCACAGCACAGGTCAGGACAGGCTGTGTCACTGGTGCAGGGCTACTAAAAAGCAGGCTCAAGCATCCTCCTTCCACTTGCTATTTTCAAGCAGCAGCAGAGGAAGCTCTACATTGAAACTGGGAGTGCAAGGGGGTAAGTAATGCTCAGTTAGATCCCAGACAAGCTCACAGTGCAGCCTCACTGAGCCAGCAGCAGCAAAGCCCCAGACATGCACAGGCTGGTTGCAAAACTTTTTAACACGTTTTTGTGTGAATTCATCTGCCTTTGACTGACAAAGCTGCAATAATGCAGCAATTCCATCTCACTGCAGAGCCCAGGGTGCAAACTGCAGCTGCTGCAGAGCAGTGGGCCTGTTGTTTCCACAGTTATTCCATGAACAAAGAACTCTCTTGTGGCAGCAGTTTCACACTGGATGAAACACCATCTCCTAGACGTTACCTCTCTGTTGCACTTCTAACAAAAACAGTGTTCTGTTGTTCAACAACTAGAATAAAACTCTGTGCAGACCTTGCACATTTTGCAGCTTCTCTCCATGACTTTATGATTATCCTAAAGAGGTCAGAAGCCTACTAACATGCACAAGGCAGGAAAAAATAGTGCATGGAAGCAGAAAACGCCAATCTGGTGTACAGGACATCTGTCCTAACCAGCATCCAAGCTTTCTCAGAAACTGAAAGAGTCTCTGCAGACAAAAAGCAGTTCCAAGCTGCCACATATGAGATGCTGGTTCTTACTTTGTTCCTGTTCTGAACAGACAAATTCAAAGTACATTGAACACACTCAGATGGCCTCATTTACTTTGAAACAGGGAGGAAACCACAGCTGTCTTTGCAAGAGCCCAAACCTATTCTACAGCAATCTTCATCCTGCTGGGCAGGCTTGTGATAGCCAGGTGTACCAGAGGAGTGCAGAAGTGTGTGCTAGAAGCTACTTTAGTACCCTCTGTGGTGCAATAGTCATATTCCTGTTAGCTGCAAGATCTTTGTTGTGTGCAAGACTTCCCCTAAAATCATAACCAAGGATTGGCCACAGGTTTGATTTCATGAGGAGAGGCCACTGGAAGCAAGGTGGCAGAGGCAGTGAAAAGCACTTCACTTTCAGGGAGAGGAAACAAAACAGAACACACACACAAAAAAAAGAGAGTACCTCTCACTTCTATAGTGGCGTTGGCTATGGGAGAGTTTGAAAACACAAACACGCACAAGTATTCCCCTGACTCTTCTGCTCTGGGCTTCAAAATCCTGCAGACAGGGAGAGAACACATGAGTCGTGTTAAGTACTGTGTTAGCAACCAAAACCAGCAGGCTAGGAATTGATTTTGCCCTCCCCCACACTTCAAACTGGATTTCACAGTTCTTACTTGTTAATTCAAGGTATGTTGTAGAGAGGGAACTACTTTGATTGCCTGGAAAAAGGATGAGCTCTAGCCTGGAAAGTCAGTAGCAATTTAGCTGGAAAAGCTGCATTTAGTTTAAAAGCCAAGAAGGAGCCCAACCCCTGTTAATTAAGCACTACAGTTAGTTTGATGCAAGTCATCCTCAAGCCATTAGCCTGCTGGGCAGGTGTCTCCTCCAACTGAGGGAGAAATGAGGTTTAGATGTACAACCTGCACTGAAAAAATCCCACATGGACGATTGGAAAACTGATTACAAATAGAATCAATACACTGTCACCTCATAAGCTGTTTTCCTTTTTTTTTTTTTTTTCCCAATAACAAATATAAGAGTGGCCCATGAATTGTTTTCTCAGGTTCAGGCTGGATGAGGAAGAACTGCAAAAGCTGGTCAGTTCCTGAATGGAGACACCACACAGGGATCTGCTGCCACTTAAGTTAGGAAACACTAATGCAGTAACAACTAGTAGGGGAGGAAAAACAGATGCAGGAAAAAAACAGATCTGCAACAAATCTGCCCCCCACAAAAAATCAAGGTTAATTCACACACTCAAGATGGTGCAAACTTCAAGTCCACCAGCTTTTGCTGTCCTTCCAGAAACTTTTGGATACAACTGACTTGTAAGTTCTATGCAGATGCTTTTCAGATATTAACCTACAAAAGACATCCCAGACTAGAGAGGCATATGACAATGTGACACAGAATTTATACCTCCATAAGAGGTAGACTTCTTCCCAGCCCTTGCTCTCCCTTTTACTGAAAGGCTTCTTGGCTTTCTTGTTTCATGATTTATTTTTTCTAAATACATTAAGTAAATAGCACACAGGTGAACAGAAACCCTGCAGAAGAGCACTGCCTTAAAATAATTTACACATGGAAACTGCTTAGACACATGGAAAAAGCTGCTCAGTGTAACACAATAGATTGACTCAAGTCTTCACAGCATTTCCTTTCCAGAGTCCCTGGTGAAAGTCTGAAGTTAGTTATAAAGTTAATACATCTTACAGATAAGCAACAATATACCCACTTCTCACAGATGCAATTAAAAAGATTACCTTAATGATGGAAAGAATGATCATTCAGTGTTACCAGACATCAAAGCAATCACTGTTCTTAATCTGCAGGCAAGTGAAGTATCCTTAGGAAGTGCAGAGCAGCCCTGAACACCAGTGCCTGCCAAAGCTGCTGGGAAAGGTACAGCCCTTTCCTAACCTGGAACAGGACAATTCCACCCACATCTTTCCATTACTAAGCTATCCTAAGGCTCTGCTATAGTGAGGGAAGGCAGAGAATCCCTAGCTTTCCGTAACTGTGTTTAAGACCTTATTAGTTAAGTAACCATACTTTGACCATTGTTTTTTTAATCCACCACAGTCAATGCCTAAGAAGCAAAAAAAGATCCTGTATTCTTTCAGCTCTTTTTCAAGTGTGAAACCAGGACAGCCTCTGCTAGAGTATTATTGCCATAATTCATTCAAGGAAATGTGAACTGGTAGAGCTGCAAAGTTTTAGAGACAGACAAGCACCTGAAACAAGCTTGGTTGGCAAACAAGTTCCTTCAGTCCTGTGGATTTAGGAAGAGCTTGGCTTTTTGTAGATGGCAACTTTCCAGCAGTGGCAAAACCCCCACTTTCTGCCATTCAGCTCAGTAACCTGCTACCCAACTGGGAAGAACTACACAGAAAACCACCACTTTTCTCCTCTAAACTCTGAACATAGTCTAGGTTCCTAGAATCAAAGCCCAGGATTGCCAGAGCCACTCCCAGGTGCTTCCTGCTTGTAAAAAAATACATTACAAATAATAATTGCTCATTTTTCATTTAAAATGTGAACTGAAAAGCTAAACTTATTTCTGAGCTTTCAGAGTAGAGCTGCTTTCCAGCAAGAGCAGCAACATCAAGTTTGAATGAAGAATTAAGAAAGATGTGTTGAATTACTAATAAAGAAGCAGGTGAGTAGTTTAACCTATGAATTCTGAGGTTTTCTGGGTGCTAAACAACACTGAACTTAAGGACTAACTGTATTTTATAGCAAGCCAATGCATCTTTATGACTGAAAAACCAAGAACCTGAAACTTCAAGGGTAATAAATAGAACACAAAAGATTAAGCAATCATGTAAATAAATGCTGGAGTTAAATATCCTCTTTTATCACAGCTATGCTGGCAGTGCTGGCACAAACCTCACTGACAGCAGTTGGCATTTCTGAATTTAACAAGTAACCAAATCAAGCTAAAAGTTAAGTGAAGAGATCAAACGTAGTAGACACAACACTGAATGCAGCAGAAGCCTGAAACAACAGTGCACAGCAAAGCAGCAGAGAAATGATCAAGAATTCCAGATCTGCTTTGCAAAGGCAGATCTACTGACTTCCCAAGCTGTCCCTGTGATGGCAGCATGCTCTGCCAGCCCTTCATTCACTGGGAACACAGTGACTGCCTCAGAGCCTGCCCACCTCACAACTGAAGCCAAGTTTCATTCTCCCTTTACAGAGAATTTGGAAGGAGAAATCCACCCTGGCTCGGAACAGACTACAGAGAAATCAGCCTCAATACCTGGTTTCCTGACTAATAATGTGCTATTTTCAGTAACCTTGATGCAAAGTGCCTTTTGGAGCACTTAAGTTAGTGCTTTTGGACAAGACTGCTCATCAAATTAATTACTAAGTAAGAAAGCAGAGCCTTTAAAATTCAAGACTCAGTGTTAAACATTGGACTGAGGAAGTAACAAGATGTAATCACAGAACTTCACAAGACTATTGTTTTTTAACTGAAAAGCTGAGCAGATAAAAGCTGAGCACAGTGACCTAAAGAGCAAAACAAAATGGAAAACACATCTTGATCACAATCAAACACAAGTTACCACCAGTGGTTAAAACATGCCTTAAGTGCTCTTCACCTTAGGTTAACACTGACCAGAAAGCTGTACTTGCTATCTGTGCTGGCATCAAGTGAAGAAAATTGAAAGGGGGGGAGGAAAAAAAGGCAAGAAATTCACACATACAAATCAGATTTCTGATGGCATCATGGAGCAAGCTTCATATGATCTCAGCAACTTCACAGTAAATGGGAACCCTCAAAGGATTCCTGCTCAATGCAAGCTCCAGTGAAACCAAAGAGGTGGCTCTGCACCTTCTGTTCTGCACACCCTTTGGATGGAAGGTGGAGACAAAGCTAGAGCATGTGCACGTGGAATAGATTAATGCTGAAAATGTGGATGTGCTGACCAATAAGCACAGGTGATACAACTGTAGTGGTTTCATCAAGGTTTGGTATCATTTTGTAGCAGTAACAACTCAGAGGATGCCACCTCACATCTCCCCAAGCCAGAAAATTACTAAACCAGCTGAATCCAGCAGTGATTTCTGTGCTGCTCTTCCCCTCCACAATCAAGATGCGCAGCTGCAGAGCCACCCTTCTGCAGACATAAGACAGAGACTGCACAACACACTCAGAGGAAAAGAAAACTGGACTGTCTGTCTGCCTAACTCCACACAACACTTACAATCTAGAGGAGCTAAAGGAGTTTGGATTGAAAGAAATTCACAGTATGTTTGTTCACATTATGCTTAGATGATGCAACTGGGACAGCAGTAGACAAACAATTATTCCAGAATCATTCTTCTAATGCTATTCACAGATGTACTTTTTGTGGAGCCCCTAAAGCAGATCTACTCAATCTGTCTGACCACTGTGAAGCTGAACTTGGGAGTCCAAACATCTCAACACCAATTCCAATGTCTACCAGGTTTTTCACTCTCCAGTGTAACATGAAGATTATTCCCAACAGACTTACTTGTATTCTGTAGTGTTGGTAGATTTTCTAGTGCCAGGGATCTCCTCCCCATTCTTCATCCAGTAGCTGGCAGAAAGTGGGCTGGGACTTGTGGTGAGGTTACACTGCAATGTGACAGGTGGACCATGCACATGAATGACTACATCCTCACTGGCATTGATCCTGGGCTCTGAAACAAAGGACACTGTAAATAGCAAGGAATCTTCCCTGATAAGTGGGCCACACTAGTCTAAAATCCAAAAGGGAATCAGGACAGGAAAAAGACTACACAAGGAATGTCACTGCACTAATTTGGGAGACATGGAGAAAGTCAGAATAAAACAGCTGACCACTAGTGAAGGCAACACCTTACAGATCATCACCCCTGTGTGGAAAAAAAGAGTTATTTAGATTGCTTATTTCAATATTTAACATCACTACAGGTTTTTATGTAACATCATGAATCATTTTTTACACAGCAGTGACCATAACGTGGGAAAACACGTGTCCTGTGACTATTCCTAAGGGATCAACTAGTCCTTCTTTCTGCCTATTTCTTGGTTCCTCCACTTTGAGGTTTTTAAAAAGCCCATTTTCTACATGAAACAGCCCTCGAAGTTGGAGTCCTCTGAATAATATTTCTGGACTTCTCCTTCACAAAATCTCATGTCTACCTAAGACAAATATTCTGTGCACACAAGATACTTCAAACAGCAGAGCTGATACCTGAAACACAAGCAAACACCCAGTGGGAGGAAGGCATAAGTGGGATGAAGAAAGGCTGAAAGCAGCCCTTAATGCTTAAGGTGGTGTATATTCCTACTTGTTATTGTTAGAGTCAGGAACTACTTAGTTTCTAAAGTAAACATAAACATTGATAAAGAAAAAAACCACGTGAGCCTTATTGCTTAAACAGAGGTAGGTGCTTCCCTGCTTGCATCAGGAACTGACCCCAGGCTGTTTCACATTCAGTCTTACCTGGTGACATTAAATTCACATTTTTAGGGAAAGCTTTTCAGCAGTGATAGGATTAGTATGAGGGCATTGTCCTTACATTTGATAACCACATTTTATTAAGGTTGAGCACGTGGCTATTCCTCTCTAACAAAGCAGGCTGATGAATTTTTAGAATACTGAGTCAAGTTTCTTTCCAAACTCAGAAAAAAAGACCTTCCTATTGATGGCTCACAGCTGGCTCCAAGTGTTCTGTAAAAAAACCTGAATACAGGATGACAGAGCTTAAGGGAAATTTTACAATTCTTGCTATTAGTCTTCCAAAAATATCCAGATTTAGGTTGGCTATAGTTTCAGCTGGAAGTAAAGGCCACTCCTGCAGCAGCCCCTGCTGTGTAAATGCTGCTGTGTGCTCTCTCTTTGATGTTATTCCTTACTTGAAAGAGTGAAATGAATTCCAAAGAGGAAGCTGTTGCCAGCTGCTCATCTCACACCACCCTCCCTTAAGACCTCCTCTTCATTCTGGTCAGCAGCAAAGTGCAGGAGGGTGAGGAGGTCAGTCAGGAATGAGGGCCCTCATGATTTCTGCAAGTCAGCAAAGGATTTTTAATCCTCTAAATTTCATTACGCCTTGTGGGAACATATTTGAAATACAAACTGACTCATCCCCACGCAGTCTTTTGGATATTCATCTGCAGAGCACGTGGAAAACAAATTATGAAATATGCAAAGTGGAAAATACCAGTGGAGTCAGAAATGTTTTTCATCACATAAAAAAAACATTCCTCTATCCAACAGAACAGTACTTAGATTATTGCCCAGGGAGGCAGGAAGAAAAAATAGGTGTCCTGTATATCCTTTCCCCCTTTCTTCAGCAAGCAGGCTACACAGCTTCTTCCCACAGCTATTTAACACCAGGACCATCTAACTGCAGAAAAACTGGTAGATACTGTAGTAATTGAGGGGTTTTTTTTGACACTTTGCTTTTTATCACACATCTTTCACGGCGTTTCTGCCTCATTTTTCCCATGCCAGGAATATTAACCATATAAGGATCTTTTTGGATCCTGCTGGGCAAAAAAATTGTGTTGTCAAAGCCACACTATTAATGACTGTCCTGTCTGCTCTTTGTTGAATCCCAGACTGGTTTGGGTTGGAAGGGACCTCAAAGATCATCCAGATCCAACACCTGCATGGGCAGGGACACCTCCCACCAGCCTAGGTTGCTCCAAGCCCCATCCAACCTGCCCTTCAACACTGCCA